TGTGCACGGACCTACTGATAGCGCTGTAGTTCTCAAAATTACCCAAATGCAAGAATTCCTCAAAAGTTGATAAATGGTAAATTCAATTTTTTTCATAAAGGAGCTTTGGCATGCAAAATTTTTCTCTCACCAAAAATGAATCAATTATTTCTAGATATTGTATTGTTTTTTTCTTTGCGCTCCCTTACAATTTATTCATTGTGTTTTCTTGAATTATAAATTATTGCAGTGTGAGATGAATGAATTGGCACTGACTTCGTATTTGTCGTGTCTAAAAGTTTTATTTGATTTGGCGCATGATTTCCCCGAATGCCCGGATTCGATCTACGATCTTCACAGCATCATTCAGATGAATCCGCATTTTTTCTCCGAAAAAGATGGACTTTTTGCGTAAGTTGGCATTTGCATTAAATCATTTTTTGCTCTTTTCCATTACTTTCTAAATTGTTATTTTTTGAACAGCTAGCTATTATTACGGTTCGTATGTTTTATAGTAAATTATGACTGATTTTTATCCGTTAAGGAAGCAGTTTGTGTTGCGAGCTCGGATAACCTGGCAATCTTTTTTTGCTATAATCAAGACAAAATAACATAATTCATTGCGTCTGTCGATGAGAATCATTGTTGTCTGTGTCTGGAACAGCTGCTGATTCGTAATCTGGCTCCCCGGCTGTGAAACTGGCAACTTTTCCAACAGATTTGATTGGTATTGCGTCTCCAAGTGAACACCCGGGGGGTCCTGAAGTTCGTTTTGTTCCCCCATGGGGATTCGCGATGCTCAGTAATTCTTTGAAGACATTGGCAAGGATTTAGCTACGTCGAGGGCCATTAGTTGCGTCGAGGACCTTAAGCACTGCCGCTTCGTATAACACGACGAGGGCTCACCATCAAGGATAGAATCAATATCAGTGTTTTTAATTTGCCGTCTTTTAATTTCTGTTTTGATCCTCACTCCGTACCTTCTCAAAGATTTCGAAGCAAGTCCAAGTATTCCGGAATGTAAAAGTTCTGAAATAGTTATCAGGTGCTAGTTTTTATGCGTTTTTAGCATATATGCAATACAAAAACGCATATTGACAAGGAGTTGTCTCTATGTGTATGTGTATGTGTATTTGTGTGTGTGTGTGTGTGTGTGTGTCTTTACCATTTTAATCTTGCGACCTATAAAAGCTACAGCGCTGGAGCTTTGGGAACTTAATCCACGTCCACGTGCGGGCCTTCATTCTTAGAATGGGCGCTCTTATCTACGTGGT